ATTACATGTAAGGATCACATGTGTAACCTAGGTATCCTCCTAGATGGCACTGACATTTTGTGGAGTGTAGTTTTAATTACATTATCCTGACATTTGAGCAAGAATCCTTGGCGCTACATTCAAGCCTTATGCATGTGGATGACATCTTCTACTGACCAGGAAATATTTTTTGACCATGACATTTCCAATGTCTTGTGAAACAGGGTTGCGTGCAAGAAACCAGCGATAAAGAACAGTGATTGGAACACTTCTAATGAAGACTTGTGTACATGTTCCTCTCTTACAGGAACTCATACCAACACACAAGTTCCAATCCATTCAAAAAGAAATCCACTTTCCACACGAAAACTGACAACTGAAGGCCACCATTGCTCACTGGGAGGGTTTTGAAAGGTCCACAAAAGGGGGGCTTTGTGCTGCAGGTGCATAACACAGCAGATACATTTTACAGGGAAATCAGATCAACATTTTAAATATCTCCCAAATTAGATTTCTTGAGAATGCGTTCACTAAGTGCATTAGAGTGATAGACGGCACCATGCTGTGCCCACTCATGCAACATGAGGATACTGACTGAAAAAGCTACTGACCCTACTGTAACACAAGCCCCCGTGGATTACACCTGCATACTGCTCAGCGTTAGGCTGGCCTGAAAAGTACACAACTGAGCTAATGTTCAAGAATTCCCGCCTTCTCTGGAATGTACAGAAATGCAGTCTTTTTGCCCTACACCAGTGGTCTCCAAGCTTTTTACACCCAAGATCACTTTTTAAGTCTCAGAACAGCTGAAGATCTACTGCCCCGCCCCTTCCTTGAAGCCCCGTCCTCTCTATTCTCCTGTCCATCACTTGCTATCCCCAACCCTTATACACTCTGTTAAACAGTTTATTTTTAAATTATGCAATATATAAAATTAAAATCACATGTTTCTAGTTATGAAATAAATGGTCTGTTTTTAATTCATGCTATTTAAATGTCAAATGAAGCATTTACAATTATACATTTTGTTCTCTGCTATTTTGTAAATCTAAAATCAAGTATTGATAATTATATATTTTTTCTTCCAATAACAAAGTCTCAGTGTGACACCTGTGACTGAACAGTATCTGCCAGTGTCTTGAAGTCTGGGTTGTAGTCTGAGATTGCTAGTCGTATACAGTCCATCAGACGGGCATCTGTGATCCTGCGCCCAGCCTGGGAAGCTTGCTCCAGCACAGCTGGAGCTAGACACAGCCTCCCTGGGCTGAGCGCAGGGCAGCCGGGCTGGAGGGTCCCTGCACGTAGGCAGGTGCACAGGAGAAGCCACCAATCAGCTGGAGCGCAGGGCAGCATCTTTCAGCTGAAAGCCACAGTCAGCTTGCTGGGGTGTTTCAGCCCTCCCGACCTCCCAGCTCCCAGCTCCCACCTCCCGACTCCTCAAATGAGGAAATCTAATGTAAATGTACTGCGCAGGCGTGCAGTTCAGAGAGGGCTCAAGAGCTACTCTGAGAGCCCCTGAGATCTACCAGTAGATCGCGATCTACTGGTTGGTGCCCACGGCCCTACACCATAGACAATAATTGTGTCTGCCTCAATTGCAATTCAGGGAGAAAGCATGGCTATTTGCAAATGAATTGTAGCTCTGCAGTTTCTCTTTTAAGTCTGTTTTTGAAGTTGCAAGATGGCTACTTTTAAATCTGCTATCATGTGTCCAGGGAGACTGAAGTGTTCTCCTACAGGTTTTTGTATGTTATCATTCCTGATCTCTGATTTGCGTCTGTTCATTCTTTTACGTAGTGGCTGTCCAGTTTGGCCAATGTATAATGCAGAGGGGCATTGCTGATACATGATGGCATATATTACATTGGTAGATGTGCAGGTGAATGAGCCCGTGATGGATGGTGTGGCTGATGTGGTTAGGTCCTGTGATGGTATGGCTGGTGTAGATATGCGGACACATCTACCTGCACATCTACCAATGTAATATATGCCATCATGTGCCAGCAATACCGTTCTGCAGAGCTACAATTCATTTGCAAATCCGACACTATCAATTTAGGATTGAACAAAGACTGTGAATGGCTAGCCAACTACAAAAACAGTTTCTCTTCTCTTGCTGTTCCACACCTCCATATCAGCTGCTGTAAGTGGGACACATCCTCCCTGACTGAATTGACCTCGTTATCTCTGGCCTTCCTTGTGATTGGTACTTGTTCTTTTCATGTGCCTGCATATTTATACCTGCCTGTGGAATTTCCATTACATGCATCTGACGAAGTGGGCCTTTGCCTACGAAAGCTTATGCTCTGATAAATCTGTTCGTCTATAAGGTGACACAGGACTTCTCTTTGTTTTTGCAGATTGAGACTAATACAGCTACCCCTCTGATACTGCTAGAGGGGTATCTGCTGGAACAAGCCTGGTGTTAGAGTCAGACTGAGAAAGTCAGGCTTTCATTCTTAAAAAAAAACCTCTCACCCTACTCCCCATTATCTGCTGCATTGCCATGGCATGTTGCTCTATTTCCAGCCAGCATATTTTCTTCTCATGTTTGCAGTCTGATCCTTCATTGTCAGATTTTCATGTTCTAAGTTGTTCTCAATAAATGGTTTCATTCGTCAAGCTCAATTTTTCTGTCATCTCCTTTTCTCTGGCTGCAATCAGGCTCCCTCTGGAACTCAGTTGATTACCAGTGCTGAGACTAAGGATGTTAAAATGCAGTTAACTGACTAGTCGACAGAATTTCCTTCAACTAGTTGATAGGCACTTCCGCATTCCTCCTTCGAAATGTACAAGAGCCCGCGCTAGGGCTCTTGTACATTTCAGAGGAGGAATGCGGAACTTCGAGTACAGCCTGGGGCCAGCAGGAAGTCCCGCTGACTCTGGGCTGCATGCAGGTGCCTTCTTTGAAACGCACAAGAGTCCCCAGCGGGGGCTCTTGTGCATTTCAAAGCCATGGAGCCCAGGATCAGCAGCTCCCTGCAATACCCCTTTGAATCGCTCAGATGCGTGGTTCAAAGGGACAGCTGCAGGGAGCCCGGGATCAACTGAGGAGTCCCCAGCTGACCTCGGGCTCCTAGCAGCATGCAGCGTAGTATGGAGCCCACTGATCCTGGGCTCCGTGGCTTTTGAAATGCACAAGAGCCCCCACTGGGGACCCTTGTGCATTTCAAATTTCAAAGAAGGCACCTGCGTGCAGCCCGGAGTCAGCGGGACTTCCTCCTGGTTCTGGGCTGTACATCGAGTTCTGCATTCCTCTGTTGAAATGTACAAGAGCCCCCACTCTGAATGTACATTTCAAAGGAGGAATGCAGACATGCCTATAGACTAGTCAAAAAACTATCCAATAAGCAAATGCTTATCAGATAGTTGACTAGTCTTTAACATCCTTAGCTGAGACCCTGGTTTAGAGAAGGGTAATGAAAGACTAGTTTGCTAACAACCTCACTGCTGAACTACAGGAGGGAACAATGAAGCATTTCACTACTCTAACACCCAGCGACTGGAGAAAGACTGTAGCTTAGATAAACTATTATCAGCAATAGTTATATGATCTGGTCCTATTGCACAAAGATTCAATTCATCCACTCTACTGGCTACAAAGTACAGTAAGTGGATTTGGTTTTAATACCATCAAGAGGTATTTGAAACTTTTACATTTTAGTATTTATTCATGGTATTTTGGTGCTTTTACAAGGGACACATACTTAATGGGAAGTACAGGGTCACTGGAACTTCTATGGACAAATTGCCTACATAAATGTGGAATAGTTGTTGTCATGCTGTTCTCAGGATATTAGAGTCAAGGAAGGGGAGGTAATATCTTGTATTAGATCAAATAAGATATTACCTCAACCCCTGGTTTTCTGCCTGCAGAAATAGGGTTCTGGCAAAGGCAGGATCTGGCTATAAGAATGATGGTGGGATGATGGGCGAGTGAAGGCCAGCATGTGCGGGCGGGGGGAAAGGAGGGGAGGAGGAGGAAGGGAAGAAAAATCATCAGTCTTTGGCCAATTGCCAAATAGCACTCATCGGAGGGGCTCAATACTCTGCTCACTTGCTCCCCACGGTTATAAAGAGAGAAGACTTCCAGCCTTAATGACTGCAGCATCCAGCTGCATAACAGTGATGAATCACTAATATCTACAGCTCATTTCTCTCAACTTAAGCACAAATATATAAACACTACACTTGACCTGGAGAATCTTCTCCTTCCATTCCAGTACTGAGAGCCGGGGGCTGTAACAGCAGATCCATAAAGTCCAGGTTCATGACCTGACAACCCAATTTCTGCTTATCAATTCACTTCTCCTGGCCCACCAGGGTGCCTCGGCTGGCCAACACCATAGGAGGCTCAGTGAATGCCTTGGGCACATGACCATGTTTTAAACATGTCATACAAAGGGAAAAATTTGCCTTCCTTCCACAAAGATTCATGTGTTGTTCTGTACTCAAATGAACTGCACCATCACACATTTAATGTTATCCCAGTACTGCTGACATTATGTCCATTCCAAGCTTGACTAGATGCTAGGGATGTTAGCATGTAGCTGTTTGCACGATTAACCGATAAGCCTGGGTGTATTGGTTAATCCTAATGACTACACGTACATGTTTCGTTATAGCAGGCGAACACAGAACATTATAGGTATACAACTTCACACAGGATTGCTATGGTATGCACTGAGCATGGGAAACAAATGCAAAGGAGCCCTTGTTTAGAGAGAGGATGAGCAAGAGCACTTTGGAATTGTGTTGGAAAGACTGATTAACTACTGTAGCTATAAACATCTCAGGTTTACACATGCACTGAAATGATGCTGTTAAAGTCTTATTTAATTTACTGGAGATAGTGAAATTAAACCTATCCCTGCGATAGCTTGCTAAATTCTATGGGGAATGCCTATAGACACAGTTATACAAATTACAAGTGCCATAATTTGTTCTGAGGTCTAGAGAGTTAAATGAGTTATCAAAATGTTACACACAAGGCAGTGGTAGAGGCAGATTTTAAATTTAGGAAACCTTGGTTCTCAGTCTCATGGTCAAGTCCCCTAGAGTTTGCTGCCTCTTGTCAGAGTATTACTTTAACTCAAGAAGTCCCATATCAACAAAGAATTAACTTTTGGGGACCAAATCACAAAACTTCAATGATTACTCATGTTTAGAAAGAGCAGAATGTGGCCCTTTATGAATAATTTTTATCTGGCACCACTAGAATGCCATTGGAAAAAAAGCATAGTTGTCTCACTCGTGTACTATTAAATCCATAGTCCCCCAAAATAAAGTGTCAGAAAGTTAATAAAGACTATATCCCAAGTACTGTAAGATAAATGCAGAAAGCACACAAACAAACAAACAAACAAAAAATCAAGAAACAGGAGGTATTTCTATCTTTAAGTCTTCCTATTGAACGAATGAATAAACCCCAACACCGAGGAATAAAATGGTGAATAATAATGGAAAAACACTTTCTTCTGAATTCCCTTATTTATAGTCACTTTAAAACAAATAAAAGCAGGATCTAATTTTAAAGTGAATATAATGCTCTCTGAAGGTACTGGATTGATTACCTGGGAGACAGAACTCTGGTTTATTCACAGGACATTAGCATAGGAAGCAACAAGGCAAACTTCTCCATGCTGCCTATCACTGTATCTCATCTCTGGGCTAGAAGAACCAGGTCTAAATATGAGAGAGAATTAACTCTCCACGCTCTTTAACTCTTGACCTCACAAAACACAAAGGACAAAACTAGTGCCAATTATACTAGTGTTTTTTTGATGCAGATAGCTGTCCAGCCTGAATTGGAACTCATTATCTGTGAGCCACTCAAGAAAAAAGGATGACCTGCCTTTGGTGGCCTGAAAATCCATTTGTAATTTACACGTTAAACTTTCAACTTGTGGCATGTAATAAAGTGCTGTATACTTCAGTCATGATTCACAGGGAGTCAGTGGTGTAACTTCATACATCAAGATTACAATATACTCAAATATGAAATATAATGGAAAATGTAGGTATTTACCAATATATCTCCACCAGTTTTACAATGCTATCACCTATTGTTTTACATATTGCTATATATTGCATGAAGTTGTTCAAATTTAGCTAACTATACTCAAATAATAATGATTAACTTAGAAAGTTCAAAATAAAGCCTTTACCAGCATGCCATTTATCCATCTTCTTGCAATTATAGAGTCCAGCCCACATACAATAATATGAAATTCTAGAAGAGAAAAATGTAATTTTCAATGTATTTTCCTTTAATCAATATATTTTACTCACAGGAATGAAATTAACTTCCTACATAGTCTTTCAGAAAGTTTCACAATAAAAGGTCTGGCTTCTAGTGAATAATATTTTCTACCCAATCAAAAGAAACAATGAAACATGAACAATTCAACTGACTAAAGATGTTAAAATGTGTTAATTTCTGTGAATGTGTAACTGCTGAAATTTACAGCAGTTATACACTGACATTCAGGAGGCCAGGTGGGAGCTAGTGCTCGTGGAGAGCCAATTTTTAAGCCAGATCCCTGCGAACACTGGCTGCAGCTTGCCTCCTCGCCTTTCTTTCGCCCCCCCCCACCCCCATCAGAGGCAGCAGCATGCGTGGGGGAGATGAATGACAGGGAGAGGTGACTCCGCTTAAAAACTGGCTCCCTGTACATACCGCCTGACCCCCCCCTTAGGATTAACTGATTGCTCGCTGGTTAATTGTGTAAATGAGTACACATTCACACCACAACTGTCTGCCATTTTTGGTTAAATCATCAGAAACTACAGTGCTTTCTCAAAATATAATTTGGAGAATTTGTATATTAGCAAATGCTACTTACGTCGATAGAAAGTTTCATCCATATCCTGAATTTTTTTAAAATGTCTGAATGTATATGCAGTAAAGGAATTCTATTATGGTAATTAATACGTTACAGAATTATAACCAAATCTAGGTTAACGAATACATAGTCAGTAAATCCCAATATTTAATATATCTTTATATATACGGCCCTACTAATCTATTATATATTTGAGAGAGTTTGTGTTTGTCCGTCTGTGAGTCTGTCCATCTGAGTCCATTTGTTCAAGAACTCCTCCTAATGGGTAAAAACTAAGATCACTAAATTTGGTATACAGCTTCCTCTTAGCATAACTTAAAGCAAGGTCAGGGTTTGGTTGCGCCATAACAATAGGATGTGTGTTAGGGATGTAAAAGGTTAACTGGCAAGCATTAGCCTTGTTACCAGTTAACCAGAGGGACAGATGGCGTAGCAGGACCCCACCAGCCAGAGCAGCTTGTGGCATCACGGCTGGCTGGACCACAGCTACTGGGTTAAACGGTTAAATTATTACAATTTTATCATTTAACTGGTTAACTTTTTTAATGCATATTTACATACTTAATTTGCATGGAATGCAATTGTTTCTCATCAAAGAAAAGAAAGGTGTGCGATAGCAGGGACAATTATACTCACAAATGACCATGGGGGCAAACAAGCACCCAGGCCCCAGGGGGAACAGCTGAGGACAGGCCAGTGAGTGGGCTGTGCTGTCCCCATTGCTCCGAGCCAGCTTTGGGGAGAAGCCAGCAGCTGCCTCCACACCATGCCCTGAGTACCCTACACCTCCCAACTCCTGCATCCCCATTCTCTGTCCTTCGCCCCTCCTCATTCCCCAACCTTGAATCCTATACCCCAACACTCTCAACTTCTTGACTTGAGACCCACACAACTCCAAGTCGCTGTCTCGTCGCTTGCACCCTCTCTCCCCTGAAGGAACCAAGCAACACCACGTAAGTCTTCTAGTATTTTATTTTAGAGTAGTGATCAGAAGCCTCTTAATTCCTGGAAATTCCTGGACTGAAGTTAGGACCATGAAAGCTAAGATGACAACAGCAGTAGCCCATCTGGACAGTGCTATCTAGTCTCTTCACTTCCATATTCCTTTAAAGGCGACAATGAGCATGATCTGAGCTTAAGTGCATAGAAGGGCAGTGAAAAAAAGGAAATCTAAAGTAGAGCAATAAGGTTAAATTGGGAGTACCCTGTTCCCAGGGTCAACTCTACCAAAGTAAGCTATCAGGGATGCATGAAAAAGGAAGCAGGGGAGAATTCTATGTTGAGGAAAACCAAAGAAGAAGAAAGATAAAGAGGAAGAGACAAGAGTCTGCACAAGAAAAATCAGACCAGCGAATAAAAGTGTGGTACAAAGAAACAGGCTAAGCACCAAAAACGACATCACTTTAGGTCCAAAAGTCAATGCTGGTGCGGTGCCAGTCAAAATGTCAAACACAGCCATAGTCTAAAAAGGTTCAAAGCAACACAGAAAAATGTTTAAGAAAACATTAAGCTTTCCAAAAAGGAGGCCAATGGAAAGAATAATGAATTCTGCCAAGTTTCTGCTTGCTGCCTGTTAAGAAGAAACCAAATGGTGTGTAAAGGTGTGTCCCTTTAACACACCCTGAGCAGAATGCATGAGGATATACTTAGATGCTGGTTTAACCACAACACACACACAGCTATCTATTTATAGCTTGTGATCCCAGGAGTTTCCATTCTGGCAATATCCCTTTTATGTTTTTCAAAAATATTACGTTCTAGCTCATGAACAGCTTTATGTTCACCAGATTCTTACTACATTCTATAATGAACAACACAATACATACACCAAAAACTACTTCTGTGCTCATGCACACTTCTGTGGTTCTACAAGATAATACACAGTGGAAAAGAACATAAGCGATTAGTCCGTTTAGTAAGTTATTTTCTGAATGAAAATAAGTTATTTGATTCTTTAAAATTACATAGCCTGACCACCGACAGCAATCAATGAACTTCCATGGCTACTACTTCTCTAGAAAAGGATACGGTACCACAGCACAATTAGGAACTCGGTTGTTTAGAAATTCTGCTGCAACTTCTGCTTTAGGTCGTCCTACATCTTTGGGTCTGCAAAAAATAAAGTGCTTCTAAAATTCTTAGTCTAATAGCACACATTAAAAATCTAGCAGCAGATACTATTAAGGTGTATTCCTATAATTTATTAAATGGTTTTCATTTATAAGCTTCAGACATGAGACTAAACCAGAGGTTCTCAATCGGTGGGCCACTTGCAGCCCAATTATCTCACAGCTGCAGCCAGTTATGTGCTAAAAAAATTCAAAATTTGCTGCTCTGGTCTGATAAGGGTGGGGCTGGCCGGGGGGAAAGACAGAGTCTGGCAGCCTGCTCCTCCAACATGACATTGGTGAATGCCCCGGGGAGCGGGCAGCAGCAGGCAGGAGAATGTAGTAATTTACTTGTATGTATACAGGCAGTCCCCGGGTTACGCGGATCCGACTTATGTCGGATCCGTACTTACGAATGGGGCTTTTCTCGCCCCGGAGGACGCGGGCAGTGGGCCCGCCCAGACGCGCCGCGGTCCAGCC